ACAAATAATACCCAAAAGCTACGCTTCATCTTTCTCACCAGTTTGAAAATTGTGAAGCTTGAAAAGGCACAAAAAAATCTGCTGTTGGCAATTAGAGGATTGCCTGAGTGGCAATCTTTCTTTTTGTTTCTGAAAAACTCTATAGTTCCTTTTTATTCCCCCTGTTTAACTTCCCTTCCTCCAGTGGCTCTTAAGGCAGCTGGGAGCCGGCCAGCAGGGGGATTCTGCTCACACTTGTAAGCTTAAAAATTTAATGAGACTTTCACTTCACACTTCATCCTCCTCTCTTTATAGAAATGGAGATTCTGCATGCTGATACTCTGACAGGCTTAAATGGGAAAACCTTGGAGATAAACAAATGTGGCAATGGGTGCTTGCCCAACAATCCCTGAGATTCAGGTGTCCTGAGGAGAGTCAGTGGGAGGCGCGGCTTTCATATCCTCGGCTCCTAATGAAAAAGATTTGCAGGAAATGCAACATTCGCAATGAAAGGAAGTGACATATTGCTCTTTTCTAAGCAGTGTGTGAGCCGACTAGAGACCTTATTTTTATCATTCAGGGAGGCACATTGTTGTCTTGGTGTGTTTACAGAACAAGCTGACTGTAAAAATTCTAACTTAATCTGTTTAGATTATGTACGTCAGTCTTCTCTTAGAACGGAACACAGTCAGCATCAGGAGCAGCTCACATCACCAAGGAGATGCTTATTTCATCTGTAAGAGAGAAATAAAATATTCAACATTTAGTTGTAGATTTCATCTTTACTCTAGTCACGTGCTTGTCTTATAGTTAACCCTGATAATTAGGGTAATGATGTTGACGCTGCATTAAATGAAAATCTTAGTTCAGGATTTATTTGGTGTGATTGTGCCAAAATTTTATAAGCTGGTAAAAGCTTGCATAGTAGTAAAATTTCTTGGTGTATTTATTAGTATTGATTAGCTTGTTCCAGACTTGTTCCAAGACAATGTCCAAAACAAACTTCTACCGTCTTGAACTTGTACTTATAACTGAGAAACTAACTCTGTGTGATACGACTAGCTGCAAACATTTACTTTGTTTTATTTTTATTTTATTGATTCTGAAAAATGATTGCTTTGCTGGCAATATATAGTATGTAATTTGTCCTTTCAATTATAATATTAAGTGAGAGAAAAAAATGATATATTTGGTAGGAAAAAATCTGTTCTTTTTTAAGTTATATCAACCAGTCCTAACAGAGACAATAGATCCTTTGGGATCTGTAGGTGTCCAAATTTATTAGGTGATGCTGCCTATTTATGTTTATATATATATATATATATATGGAATCCATAACTTGTGCTATAGTCAGCATAATAAGTGTTATAGTCAGCATAATAAGTGTTATAAGTGTAATAGTCAGTATAACAGTGTTATGTGACTCTAAAATGATGTAAAGATCCTTAAACTGTTTGTTGGTTTATAATGGCCATTTGATGGATATTAGCATTGTATTTCTTTTCTATTAGATACTTATTGTACATTGTCTAGTAACAATTTACATTTTCTGTTCTTGGAATGTGTTTCATTTAAGAAGATAAACAAATAAGACCAACTCTTACCTCCATTTTCTTTGTCAATAATCTTCTGCTTTATCACAAATATTCATCAAATACAACCATAACAATGTTTTGAATGTTTATGAAGAAACATTCACATTGCTTTTTGACAGTTTTTTTTAAAACAATAAATGCCTTCATTGGCAGCTTTTAGATTTTACAGTTACCGGTACCTTCATCCTCAAATTCCAACTTATATGAATTAATCGTAAATGAAGATGAAAAAGAGAGTTATAGGTTATGTAATATCTATAACTACCTATGCCTAGGAGATGGTATCACGTTCTATTGAGTAAATCATTCAGCTAACTGGAAAACTGGTGATTTAGTCAGAGAGACATCTAACTAACTGACCATACACCTGCAGTCTTTTAAGCCTGGGTTTCAGCAGAGCAAGCCCAGAGGAGGGCAATGAGAGGGAGGGAGAGAATATTGAGCAAAGTGAGGAGAAAAGGAAAAGAAGAGCATAAAATCTATAAGCTACAGTCAAAAGGTCCAGTGCCTGTCTTTGGGTATCTTTCCCTGTCTCTGGATGTCTTTATTAGCTGGAGACCTCAGTGAGAAAGAAAAAGCACAAAAAGGAAAATTAAAAATGTAATGAATGTTGTAATAATCATACCTGGGTATATTATGGGCACCATTCCGACAGACATTTTTGCAGTCCTTCATGCTCTATACCATCCCACTGTTTAGTTCCATTCTATCAGTAGCAACCCGCTGTTATTGATGGTCTTGAATCAATTTCATTTGGCTTCTTATCATGCTTGACACGCAACCTTTCTAAACTGTCAGAAAAGAGTAATATTATGGCCTTTTATTTGGATCAATTGGGCAGTTTGGGGCTCAGAGGGCAGGAAGAAGGCGGAGCGTACAAAAGGTCAATCAGCTTTCAATCATTTAAAAGTTATCAATGAAGGATGAAGATTGCTAATGAATGCATATCTAGATCTAGATTCACTGACGGTAAAAAAAAGAAAAGTATGCATAAAAACATTACATTGTGGGGTTCTTCTAAAACGAAAGATTTAATTTGAAAATTGGATTCATATATGTCAATAGGAAAAGCCAACCATAAAATTACCTATTGCAAATCCCGGTTTATAAAAATTGTCTAATTTCAGTTCTAATTATACAGTGCCAGTTACATTTTTGCACAAAGGTAATATGGGCTTGAATATCAAATTATTTCTGAGCTAGTAGGGATGGATTACAACAAGGTGTTCTAACAGTTTCTATTTTATGCCATACTTGAGCATTGATAGCTTCTTGGTAGGGTAACAGTTTGGTTTAAATAATTGTAAACTGAGCGCAGTTGGGTGCTCAGAAGCACATCCGCGTAGGAGCACAAAGTGTTACACCCACCGGTGATCGTGGATAGTGTCATGGTTGGTTTAGGAAATAAACCCACATGCAGAACACCACTGGAGACTGGGTAAAAAGTTCAACAGAGTTTATTAAAGATTTGAACAAGAAAATATGAACTGGATTCTGGAAACAGGTCCGGGCAGGATTCTCAGGCGTCTGCAGAGACGGATAGTTTGATTAGCCAGGTTTACTGATTAGTAGTTGAGTTTGCTGATATTTCTGAAAATACCTTGACAAGTTTCAGGTTTTCTTTTCTGAGAGAGGGAACCGGTTGGGTCCAGAGACTGTGGTTCAGCAGAGTGCTCAGCAGCTGCAGCGTCTTGCTTCTGACTGTTTGTGTCAGACCTTGGGTTGAATGATGAGCTCCTTCCCTGAGAGCTGCAGGTGGATTCCAGAGTGAGATCTTCAGGTTTGGCTCTCTAGGGCAGGCAGGCGGGTAACAGGCTAAGCTCATCCAGAGCTTCACACGAGAGACAGGTTTCCTAGGAGCAAGAAGACAGAGGCAGGTTAGAGTTGGGTTTCTCTAAGGCAAAGGTTCTAGTAGATAACAGAGGCTCGGGTTCACTAACCAAATTTGGTCAACACTGCGGCGTTGAAGGAAAGTCTGGCAGCTGCTTATATAGGCAAGTCTCCTGATGGGCTGATGAGCGTCAGCTGTGCTGGAGGGCTCCAGCCCAGGAAGATCCACAGCGCACTCTGCTGGAGAAGGTGGAGAATCTCCAGATCCCAACAGATAGCCCACAAATCGGAGCTATATTACAATTAGCATCCACTTCATTGACACAAAGTGTCAAGTAAAGTATGACAGTGTGTCACAACAACATACCCTGTCTTATAATATTTTTTTCTCTCTCTTTATGGGGAATTATAAGTGTATTACATTTTATCCTAATATTTTGATTATATCTACATTTAATAATGTGTAAGAAATGCTGTTTTCATTTGGTCAGTATTTAATACGGCTTGCACAAACATCTATATATAACTATATATATATATATTTAGGACTTCTTTTATCAATGCCTCTGCTTTGACAGTTTCAAATAGTGTCTTTCATTTTATGTCCTTTCTAAGCAGAAAAAAGGCCTTATCACGCGTATCCATTAATCCAGGCGAAGACAAACAAATATGAAATACTTAAATTCTGTATTTTAGTATCCAACTTTTATGTATGTATAGTTTTAACTTCAGAGGTAATTTACAATAATTTTACAATAAATTGTAAATTTCCTCATTAAAAATAACATTTAAAAATAATTGAACTGAAATAGTCAATGTTTCATCATTGGAAACCAGAGATGGGGGATCTGAAGTCATCAAGTCATCTCTATGTCATGTATTTGTTCTGACCAGGTGAGTGACTTACCTGGTTCAGTGGCTGAGTAGAACAAATACATGACAAAGAGATGACTTGTTGACTCCAGATCCTCCATCTCTGTTGGAAACAGCACTTCAACTGCATCATTAAATTGCAAAACATAAATGTATCCTCTAGCTGCAGTTACATGGATATTTTATGTCTGAGTTGTAGAAAGTAGAGTTAATATGAAACTTTGGCTTAAACAGAGCACAGCTGCTTTGCTTCAAGTCACTTTATAATGGAAAGAAGAAAGGCCTCAAAGCTTCTCATCTGCCTACAGAGTTGCTCATTCAATACGTATAATATTCTCCCTTTATATCTCATAGCTTGATAGTATTGTATCTCAGATTTAAAAAATCCTATAAAATGAGCAGCAATTTTGCAACTAGAAGGCCGCGTTCACCAACAGCAAAAAGGGAGAAAAGCATATGGATGTTAATATTGGTTGTTTATGCTAATAAAATGTATGTCTAACACATATCTGATAATAAACGAAGACCATCTAGATACTGTCCAATTGGTATTTCGAGACTGTTCATACAATTTCCATTTATATAAAACTGGGAATACAATACTTAAATAAATGTAATGCAGACTGTGTTTCTTTATTGGTTCAAGTATTATTAGAGGTATTTCAACAAAGGCCCTTATGTTTTTTTTCTTTTTTCCCCTTTTTGATTTTTCCTTTCAATCAGGGTGCTTCCTCCAGCTTGGTGGTCAAGTTTGCGGACACAGACAAGGAGCGCACCATCAGACGTATGCAGCAGATGGTAGGGCAGTTTGGCATCTTTAATCCAGCCATCGCCCTTCCTTTCAGCACCTACAGCTCCTACGCACATGCGGTGAGTTCGAAAAGACCGAAATTTGAATTCTGTGAAGAAAAATCTGTGTATTTCATTGAAAGTTGTAGTTTAAAATGTAAAAAAATAAGCTTGAAAAACTCCAAGGGTAGATGACAAACAGTGCTCTTGGAATCTTTTATTTTGTATACAGTGAACCCTCGTTTTTCACGGGGGTTACGTTCCAAAAAGAACCCATGATAGGCGAAATCTGTGATGTAACCTTTTTTTTTGCAGTTATAATTAAAGACTTTTTCATTTCCTGCTTATATCCCCCTTCTTCAATGATTTAAATTTGTTGTTCACAAATGCTTGTGCTCCAGCAGTGTTCATTATGAAGAGTATTAGGGCAAGGCATGATATTTTATTTATTTATTTTTTTATTTTGAGAATCAAGTCCTAACATTACGAGAATATTACGAGTAATATTACAACTTCAAAGTCTTCTTTTGCCCCTCTTCTTGTTACTCTATAGATATTTAAAGATAGAACATTACCACCCAGTTGTTTATTTGATTTATTTAATGCTCTACTATCTGTTTTTATCACATTTCAAACAGAGACAGTAAATAAATAAGACATTTTTAGAGACTGTTTCCACTTTAATATTTTTTGCAAGTTTTCTTTCAATTATCAAATTTTCAATACTATCTACCTGCATCCATGGATATGAAGACACATTCAGTAGAGAGGGGAAGCTATAAAACAGAGTTCATCATGTTTACAGCTAAAGCTTGCAGACTGCATTCCTTTTTTATTTGTATTTTTTTTTTTTGCACAAAGCCAATCTTGCCAAGGACACAGTTTGCTACTTTATTCCTGATTATGATTTTAAATACAGAACCTGAAACCTTATTCCTCATGAAATCTAAGGATGTGTGAAAAGCCATAAAATAGCTTAGCCCCCTTTTGCAATGGCTTTATCTCCCTTTGAAGAATTCATAGAACTGCAAGACATTAATCTAAGAAATGACAAGGAACGTGTTTGTTTCACCGGTTCAATTAAGAATAAAACAACAAAAGCTGCTGAAGTTACGACTATGAAATTTAGAGATTGTGGAGCAGACCCAAGCTATGGACTACTTATGAGTATTTCTCATTGTTTTATATATTTTTAACCCATTGTCACACGGTCTTCTTTACAGTCTTTACTTATTAACAACTGCTCTATACACTAACCTGCCTTATACTGTTCTGCTGTTTTGTTTGCTGTCATTAAATTGTGGAGTGGTTCAGACACATTTTGTTGTACTATATACTCGGACAATGAGATAGCAATTAAGGCATTCTATTTGGTCAAGTTATTTATTCTTCTAGTGTTTGACACAAAAACGTTCAGAGAAGACCGAGACAAGACAGTTTTCTTTAGCATTGTTTTAATGAAAAGTAGATTTTAATAAATAAAAAAAAACTGTGCCACGTATGAATTATTACTTCAAAATAAGAGTAAAAGATGAATGATTTAAAATTATATTTTTTAATAAGTTACCAAATTGCTAGGAACATGATCTTATGTATCACATGAAGTATAAAAATTATTGATAATGATAAAAATTGATCTTTGTTTTTAGCCCCAAATGGGAAAGACAAGTGTATATTTAAATAAAGCAAGGGTAATTTATGTTGTCTTTCATAAGTCAGAAAATCTGCAATTTGATAACAAAAGTTACCCTAATATTGTTACTGAGGAGACAGTTAAATTAGATTTTATTCATGAATTTCTTTGCAATGGAATCATGTAAATTCCAATAAAGCTGAGTGTTAATCAACATTTACTTTCTGTATTTCGCACAGACATGTTCCGTCAAGCAATGACACAACTGTTAATCTTAGCCAGATACTGTGAGCTTGTTGTCATTTGAAAAGATTTTTCTTTTTTTTTTGTAGTTAATTATTTTTTACCTTTTCACATTAAAACACATACAGACAAACCTCATAAAACATCCATTTAAATGTGCTGAACAAAGCTGCACAGCTTAAAGGGACAGGTTCATTAGGTACAGTAACAACTTCAATGTGCGGCATTTACATCACCGCCAACTGTCTGCTACTTCTTTTGCCATCTTTTTTATCAGTTTTAGTATTTATGTAAGTCATGCTAAGTTTTAACATTTGAATATATTTTACAGCCCCAGTAACAAAAGTAAAACATCTTTAGTATTTTACAAATGTATTATAAAAAAGAAAACTACATGTAATTATATAAATCATTTTGCTGAAGTAATTCAAGTAGTAGTACTATTACATTGATGTAGTACAACCTCCTACCAGGTACATATTTCCAAGTAAACTACCAAATTTATAACAACCCAACTAGCTACTCATCTCCTCGTATTAATGGTGCTGCAGTTCTATTATGGATAGACTTGTCGGCACATACACATTTTTATAGTGCATATGAACATATCTGTAGACTAACAACTTAAAGAAGATCAAAATAATTTGGGGAATCAACTATAATCTAAGGATTGCTTTTCATCCTGCACTAAGATACAAACCATAAAAGAAAAATGTACCTATTCAGCAGTAGTGATATAAATTAAGTTCTTTATAAAACAATTTTTTTAATATATGTGCCGTATGTTGACATATACTGTTTCACAAAAGTGAATATGCCCCTCAAATGTTAGCATTTATTGCGTTGTTTTCTTGTCAGGGTAAAACACTGAAGACATAACACTTTAATGTAGTACGAAACAGTGTACATTTTGTCTATATCTGATTTCCCTCCATGATGGCATCATAAAGCTGGTGGATGATGAGATCATGCAAACCTCCCTCTTCCACCTGAGGATGCCCCACAGACGTTAAGATTGCTTTGCCAGTCCAGAATCCTTACACTGTTTCTTAAGCAAGGCAGTATACTGCCCAGTTCCAGAAGGGAGGGTATCACGCAGTGCTTCAGTCTTTTACAGTACATGTTGGGATTCATAATTCCCTTGGTGAACGGTAGATCACAGTTCAGTTGAGCATTGTAAATCCTATTTTAAGTGGAAACTTTCCTATTAACCACTGTATGTTTGGCCATCAAGCTGCATCTCAGTTTATTTCATCCTAAGCCATCTTTATGCGAAAAAACAACCAGTTTTGTTTGAGATCCTCACATATTTCTTTGCCATGAAGTAAGAAGTTAACTTCAATGTGCCACTGGAAAATCGCTAAATGACCAGAATTTTTACATTTTAACTTTGGGCTATACTCACCTTCTTTTCAAGCAGTTCAGACGTTATTGGGTATGTGTTGAATTATTTTAATGGGATAGCAAATTTATACTGTTGCACAAGCTGTAAACTGACTACATTGTTTCAAAGTGTCATATCTTTTGTAGTATCCAATGAAATATATGTATATATATAATAAAAGTTTTATAAAAACGTTGAGGTTGTACTCAACTTTGTGAGATTTAATACATGCAATATCAATAAATACATGCAATATGTATTTATTTTTTTATGTTTGCAAGTTTTGGGGGCCTATCCATTTCCCTCATTTTCATATCAGAGTCATGGGACCCCTCGTGAAATGTGCAAATTGACCATCCCGGAGTAATTGCCAGGCCATCTCTTGTGCACTCTCCACTAAAACTCCCACCTTCATTACCATTCATGAAATGCAGCCCTTTCCTAGGAAATGTGGAGAAATGCAAATGTTTTAGGGGCTATGGAGGCCACAGCGGTCTGCAGGGAGACCATTGTGCGCAGCTCTGGTTGGCCATGACTTTTATTTACTGTGGCAGAGACCCGTGTCGGCTCATAGAGATGCACACAAGAGCATACACACTTGCACACATTGGGCAGCAAGTTCACTCCCCCCTTTTCTCTCTCCCTTTCGCTCTGAAACATGCATATAATATAACAAAGAGCAGGATGGTGCTTGGAAATTGAGTTTGAAGCGAGAGAAACAAGTGCACAGGGGATACATCAGCGTAATAGGGAGAATCGGTTACCATTAAATCTAAACCAGAAAGTGTGGGTATGTAGATTAGAAACCCTGACATCTATTAGTGCAGGTAAAGTTCTCCTTGTATTGGGATTGTTAATCATAGAGACAGTGGATCTACCCATAAGTAATGAATTCACCAAAATACAGAAGTTGCTTCAGAAAAACTTTGAGAGAAGGAAGCCTCAGAGATAAACTCCCACAACTTTTTGTGAAGTAATGAGGCAGCAACGGATTATCAGTAAAGTCAGTTAATCTATCTTACCATGCATATTTAATGAATTAAAACACTGTTTTGCTTGTTATGTAATATGCACAATAAAAAAATATATTATTTTCTCTTAGCTGGAGCATTGATTTTGTATATGTGAGACTCATGGGTGCTGGGTGCACATGCATGCTATGTAGTCTTGATTTTCACTGCAGCCACCGGGAATGTGCTGAAGGGATACGATTAATGTTTCTTTGCTGCAAGATAAACTACACATATTACCCCAAGACGAAAATCCTGCAGTGACAGAAAAAGGACTTTATCTCCAAAGACACACAACACGCTCGCCTACTCTCCATATACACTGGCCAAAAGAAGACGAGGTGGGGAAGCATAGGATACAGACATAGGGAGAGATGGTATATATAGCTATAACCAGTGAATACAGTAAATGGTAAAATTCAAAGAGCTACCTCTCCACTACAGCAGTGGATAGGATTATAGAGTTGAGCTGACAGCCAGTAAATTGGATTTTAGTCAAACCAGGAGTGGGAGGAGGGAGGGATGGGGGTTCTGAACACAAATTGGAGGGGTACAACACTGACAACATGTGCCAAAAGTGAGAAATGTGCCATTTCTACGACAGGCAAAGACACCGGCATGCTCTGACAGGAGACAACCTATTTGCAAAAAAGGTGATTTCATAAAGAACACCAGCAAAAAAAAAAGCAAGTAAGCAGCATACCATGTTTCAATTCTTGGGTGTTTGTGTTGAATGATAATAGCTCTTCCAAGAATTGCTGAGTTCCAGTCTCTAAACAGCTACTTATTAGGTTGTAGTTCCCCCCCTCAA